GCAATCCCCCCCCCCCGCGTTTTCACCACCTCCAACACTGGGAGCCCTAACGGTTCTTCCTTCCCTCCCCCTGCCCCACGGCCTACCATAACTAGGTGCCCACCCCTCTCACACATCAGCTGTCTGTTGTTGTCTGTCCTGTCGCGCCAGCCGACCTAGCCTGCCGATTTCACTTTCCCCTCTGTTCATTTCGTCTGACGACGAGTCGGTGTCACCGACTTGAAAATTTACGAGTACAACTCAATTTTCCGAAGAGCCGTCAGTGGGGAACCCACTGACGAGCCGAACCCCTCGCAGCTGCATCAAGCAGCGGCATAAGATCGGTGAAACACGCGTGTCTGGGTTTTTAGCTAATAGCTGTGTTGTTAGTACGGTAAATCATTGCACAATCGTCTGCTTAATCAGACAAAAACACACTGCTCGGACGAAGAAGGCTACCGTGTCGAACTAAGTTACTTGTGTGAATTAGTTTCCCGAAATGGGTATCCCAGGGATTTTGTGCGTCGATGCACGAGGCAGAAAGAGTCAAAAGAAAGGGAACAAAGAACTTTCAGTCAGGCACCCAAGCCAAATATATGGCGAACCCTCCCTTACCTCAAAAACGTGTCTGGACTCGTGAAAGGGCACCTAGAGAGGCGCCTAATTCTGGTGGCACACAGACCTACGACTACACAACGTACTCGGATAGTACACCCAAAGGATAGGGTCGGCTATATGGATAGAAAGGAAATCGTCTACAAGATCCCAGGTGAGGCCTGTGATGCAGTTCATTGTGGTCAAACAGGAAAATCCGCCTCTACACGCGTTAGCGAACACCAACCTGCAGTAAAGAGGCGATAGCACCTGTCTCAAGTAGCCATGCATACCCTGGACACGGGGAATGCGTTTGCTTGGGACAGAACACGGAGTATCGGTGCCTGCCCCTTCAAGAAAGGCCGAGAGTTCCTTGAGGCAATGCACTCGGAAGAATTGCGCATCAACCGTCATATCGAGTTGGACGCCGCGTAAAAAGTCTCAAGGAGAAATGGAAGAGACGAGAGCCAATCGGGACAGAATGACGCAAATAGCGGTCGCTCACGGGCGCAAACGCGAACGGTTATCGATTTTTAATGTGCACTGCCAGATGTTAACTGGTGTCGACACCTTTACTCTCAGTCTGCGTCTGACGACGACCTGGGGAACCGGCGTCGAAAATTTACGCAATAAAGTCCCTTTTTCCCAAAGAACGCCTCTGACTTCAGCTTATATTTCTTGGAATGCCTACCTTCCAATACATATAAATATATATATATGAACTAGAAAATGGGCATCACACGAAGTATAATTCGAAGGAAATAAGTCCTGTGGGAAAGGTAATAGTTTATTTTGTTAATTTTCGACTCTGGTTCCCCAGGTCGTCCTCAGACGTGAAAAAGGTATGCGCAACAATTAAAATTTAAACATGCCAAAAAATCGATATCGCGCTGCCACTCCTGTCAGTCAGTCTTTACTCTGGATTAGCATCACGTTCTGATCGGCTATCGCCGCTTTCATTTTTTTGAGATTGTTGTACATGGCGTCTAATTCGATGTGCCAATTGATGCATGAATTGTCGGAATGTATGGCTTCTAAGAATTGTCGGTCTTTCTTAGATGAATAGACACCTATTTTGCGAGTCTTGTTCCTGGCAAACTTATGCCCAGATCCCAACGTAGGCATGGCAACTTGGGAAAAGTGGTCATGCGAACAAGTAATCGTTAACCATGGAACGGTAACACATTCACGCATGTCTGCGTACCAATTTGGAGAATCGGTCACCTATAAAAATTCCACAAGGCAGGGTGGGTGTTGTCCACAATCTGCCTTAGCCTTACGGATTACAACCCTGTCTACAGACCTCGCCCGTACGATATGTCTGTAAATCTGCATGAGTATTCACGACTTATGCCGTGAACTGTAGAGTGGACGATGTCAGATTTCGTGCTATTTGAGACAAATACACGTAGATACAGCAAAAGCCCATGATAATCCCTGAGAAAAACTATTTGCTGCGACTCGAGTTGACCTACATCCTTTTTAAACCACAGAGAATCAAGTCTCAACTGGGAAAGGACGTCTAAATTCGGGCGGATAAATTAAATTTTCCTAGAGCGAATGCTCGTGGAGGATGAATTTGAGGAAAAGGGATAGGTCGTACTGTTCCAGACTTTAGGCCAAAAATGAAATCCACCTCTAGTTGAATATACGCTCGGTGCCCGAATGGATAACTTGAAAAAAAGGAGAATTTGTGATAATTGAAGAATATTAAAAGCTATACGCGAATTAAACCTCTCTTGTTCTTTGAATTTCCCAGCTGATTTCTCAATTTAAAGGATCTCCATAGAATCCCATGTTTTATAGGGATATCGAATATTTACATGCATGCCTTATGCAATTATATATTTTTACTATATCCTCGCCAAACAGGTGAGGATTTGGCAGAAAGGACGTGTGATCACTATTACAGGATTACAACAGGTCACATTGACGAGTTGCCCTAGACAAAAATCGCCGCGTCCTATAACTTGGATCAAATAGTTTTACTTAAATAAATGGAGTAGCTACTCAAATAAACGTTTAAACTCGGAGACCAACCTTAACAGATTTCCTCTGTTGGTCGACAAAGAGCAGTTGGTCCGCCCGGCGTCGCTTCAAATCAGCAAAACCTACGACTGGGACGGGAATGAGGCGATCTGGGGCTGGATTGTCGGCGCGCGCCTAAAATTAAGGGGGCAATTTGATATATCTAGGAAGAACATGGTCCACTATTTCGAACGCTCTATCCTTAGGGATAAACTATATCGGGTCCTACGTGTTTCCTTTAAACAGTGCGCGGATAAAGGAAATTCCAACATTTAAGCCATGTGTGGTGCAATATGATAAGGTACGAGTCAGCTTTTTTACAAAACAATGTCCGAAAACACTATTCCGCAGCAAGTTTTTATGTGCAGCGTGCCTCTCAAACGGGCTTGGCTATGTGCACGAGCTATTAACTGCGGGCATACAGGTCATAAATATGTGGGATACAAAGAACCCCACCTAAAACAGCGTGATACATGCTGGGGATCAGGCTGTGTGTGGCGCGCGTATATGGGTTGCTTAGTTTTTTCAGCAACTGTACCCATATCCATCTTCGGGTCGCTTCGACTTTGAGTTGCTGTCAGAGCACGGAGGGTGATGGGAAAGGGAATGAGGTGGACGCCGTGCAAGTAAGCTCAGAGCCCAAGTTATGGGGCGGCGGTGGACGCTGTCGCCCAGGACGGTCAAACTATCGTGTTTCATATCTGCAGTAACTTGGGTTATCCCGGACTGGCTATTCTCACCACCAACAAAGTCCGATACGGAACAGAACGACTCATATCAAGACTGAACCCTGAGGACATCGGTTAATGGAGCGCCTAAGTTGGAGGAAAAAAGCACGAGGACAGAGACCTGACAGTCTTAACCGCGAAAATTATCGACAGGAGACCATATAGACGCTCGAGTTGTCCATAGACAAAATATCACAATGAGTAAATATGACGGAATGTTGGTGACCTGCTGCCAGACGAGTCGATCCAGGCCAGCTGGAGGCGTTTCCAAGTAGACGTTTATCTGAGACGCAGAGGGAGCAAGTTCGGGGGTTAACTGGGTGATGCAGAGTTGAGATTGGAGTTCTTGCTTTACAGTGGGGCCGCAGAGATAGTTGGCTAAGTCACTCGCTGGAATCGTATGAATTGAGCCTAAAATATACCAGGAAAGGCATTATTAAATATCCCGAATTACCTAATGACAAAGAACGCTGAGAAACCTGAGTAGTCGACCGTCTCACACCCTCCACTCGAGGTGTGTGCTTTACCATGCATTCAAAGAAACCCTATCAGGTAGCAAGATAGCCAAAACATCGTCCTTTAAAATAGTTCGCGGGAGTATATGCCAAATAGGCGAGAATACCTGATGCCTGTCGTTCGACAACCTTTATGACGACCTCTGTGCTTGTTTCGGAACGTGCTGAGGGCCTAATTTCTTCAATTATCAGCTGAAAGTTATGACGGCCGCCGAGTAACCGAAAGAGATGGTCCTGAAGACCCTGTTTCTGACTTAGAACGGTTGATGAAGGGAGGTTGACTTCAAGACACACGAGCCCGTCCGCCTCAGTGCTTGCAGGTAACACGTTGTATGCGATGCCCCGAAACCGAGAAAAGGGATTTTCCATCGTATATACCACCGCACCGAGCGCGCTATAGCCAGTTCCTGTGCCAAGCATTGCTTGGAGCTGGTTCAGTCTTGTTATTATGTTGTCCCGCTCGTCACCAAAGAGGAGGGGTTGTGACAATGATGCGTAGAAGGCGTTGACAGAACTCTGTTGTTGTTGTAGTTGCTGCTGCTGTTGTTGTTGTTGTTGTAGTTGGGTATTTTGGAGGCCTATATAGACCAAATTCAGAGGGAAATTTTTAACATACCAAAGACGACAAAAGCTAATAAGAAAATAAAATCCGCCAGTACAAATAACCGAGAGCCCAAAGTTACATAAAGTACTCGTTCTCTAACCAATGATAATATTAAGAAAACAAGCATGTACAGCAGAATTTATTGGGGCCAACAAATTTCGTGACGGCTTTTCAACTGCAACCCGTCTCTGCATAACATAGGTAACGAATGAACGCGCACAGCAGTATGAATTTGTACAGAATGGCAGTGCATAGGAGCAAGGTCAAAGTTCAAAATAATCAATAATCAGCTAAGACGTCCACATAAGCATCAAAAAGGAAAAAAGGAAGGCGAAATGTTAACAACAAATCACAGTCAGAGGAAAATAGAGGTGTGAGATTACCAGGGCAATTGCAGATTGATCACGTGATCTAACTGCTTGCACAGGTCTGGTTTCTCCCTCCGTATGTAGGCTGCTTCCAAATAACGCAAGGTTCGAGTTGTACGTGCTCGGACAAGTACTCGAAAGGATGCTTTAGGGTCGACAACATGACCGCTATCTAACAGGTGTTTCGTTATAGACGAACGGGGGGTTCTATTTTCCTGTTTGAAAAGCCAATTAGGCAAATGCTCAGCGGCCCTGGTTGCCAATTGCCTTTGCGTTCGCCCAATGTACTTGCATCCGCAAGTGCATGTGAATTCATACACACAATTGGGGGTGGCGTGCCCGTATCAAAGAAGCCTTACTTAATCGTGGTTATCCTGCACGCTTCATTCAGAAGTACAGCAACCATTTACGGCCAAAATTGACGGAACAGTCCGTTCCGAAGAAGCCCGTTATAATATGTCTACCTTTTAAGGGTGACAACGTCTCAAACACAATCAAGCGACGCTTGTGTTGCACTATAGAAAGAACGTACAACGCAGCAGAGCTTATCTTCATCAGTTCCACAAAAAGCCTTCCAATTAACCGGGCAAAGGATGCCTTGCCAATGCACGCCACCCCCAATTGTGTGTATGAATTCACATGCACTTGCGGATGCAAGTACATTGGGCGAACGCAAAGGCAATTGGCAACCAGGGCCGCTGAGCATTTGCCTAATTGGCTTTTCAAACAGGAAAATAGAACCCCCCGTTCGTCTATAACGAAACACCTGTTAGATAGCGGTCATGTTGTCGACCCTAAAGCATCCTTTCGAGTACTTGTCCGAGCACGTACAACTCGAACCTTGCGTTATTTGGAAGCAGCCTACATACGGAGGGAGAAACCAGACCTGTGCAAGCAGTTAGATCACGTGATCAATCTGCAATTGCCCTGGTAATCTCACACCTCTATTTTCCTCTGACTGTGATTTGTTGTTAACATTTCGCCTTCCTTTTTTCCTTTTTGATGCTTATGTGGACGTCTTAGCTGATTATTGATTATTTTGAACTTTGACCTTGCTCCTATGCACTGCCATTCTGTACAAATTCATAATGCTGTGCGCGTTCATTCGTTACCTATGTTATGCAGAGACGGGTTGCAGTTGAAAAGCCGTCACGAAATTTGTTGGCCCCAATAAATTCTGCTGTACATGCTTGTTTTCAATTCATACCGGGGAAAAAATGCTTGAAATATTAAGAAAGTTCATCATTGTTGAGATGAAGAAGAGAGTCGGCTAAGGAATATCACTAAAGGAACCGAACAGAGGATTTAAGCCAGCAACAAGTATAAGTTCCGAACGATTGTGGCAATGCAGAGAAATCTTAGGCGACAGGTGTCACGAATTTAAAAGCGCATTCAAAGAGACAAATAAGATAAGCACTCCAGGAAAAAGTATCGGTGAAATAGATAATACCTGCTTACCAAACCTAAATCAAACACATTTAGGGCAAAAATCTCGGCCGACCACTTAAGCGATTATTACTCGAATGTATTTAGCGCGGATACAGGACGCGTCTGTCTGATTAAGAAAAATATCGGTCACCTGCACAGAAAACGATTTATCACTTGTGAAATTGGAGGTACTTTTGCATCATCAACACGACCTCTGTACATGATCACAGGGACAATGGTATGTGAACGGGGAGTAACCCTGATAGCATTCTACTCGCCCAGGGCTAGCCCGGTAGTGGGCTAGTATTGCAATTAACCGGATTTTTTCAACAATCCTAGCGGATAGTAGGTTGACGCGCCTTCTTGGGCGATTTGAGGGCGTTGTAGTCCGAGGCGATTTAAGTCGCCAGACAGGGGCCTTAATTCCGGACAAAGTGCGTGCGTGCGCCCTGCATGCGTGCGTATGCGCAAAGGGACTCCAGCGTGACGTGCAAAATGCACTCGACTGAGCATCAAGGAAGGGGTGTTGCAGAAAAGCTCCTTTCCTCGCACAGAGCAAGCACTGTCAGCCAGCCAGGCTACTAGCCCTGCACTAGCTCGCAAGTCAAACGGGCTAGCAAATGTCTAGCCCTGGGCGACTAAATGCTATCCCATTAATGGGAGACTGTCTCAGAATAGAACGGCGATCTTTAAAGAAGGAAAAGTTTCAGGTAGAGTTTGTCATAAAACTACCGAAGGCATTGGCTGTCTGTTGTCCAAGAAAGGATTGTGCTTGGGGAGTAGACTGAAACGAAAATAAGGAGCCGGGTTTTGTAGTGGCTGCGTTTGTCGATGGCGGATTTCCAAACAGCGAGGAAGGTTTTGAGGTAGAAAAACTGAACGCCTGTGGCTTGGAAGAAACGGCCCCTCCGAAAATATTTGTCGTAGATGGAGCTGAGAGACCTCCAAAGGAAAATGTAGATGCCGTGGACGCAGGTTGGGTTCCAAAACCGAAACCTGTAGACGCAGTAGTCTTGGCTGCATTAAAAGAAAACGCGTTCGACGCACTTGAAGCGGGAACTCCGAATGATGAAGACGGCTGTGCACCAAATACAGGCTTGTTTAGTCCAAACATATCTGGAGCACATCAAAAACAAGGACGGACAAGTGGCGCGGGAACGAACAGCACGAAACCTGATCACGATGTTTACAACCAAGAGACCAAAATATATAGTCTGGTTGACGAATACCTTGGCTGACTCAAAATTATGATGAAGAAATCAGGGGTTCAAATTTTGCATTTCTCAGCTCATAGGTGGCTTTGCAAATGAGTCAAGGGAATTAAAACAAAAGGCAGATAGTGGAGTGTAATCATTAAGAACTATGGAACAAGCTGCGTGACGAGATTGTCTAAGAAGCATCGGTGGAGGAAACTCCAACTCCAGGCTTTTGGCGATGGTTTTAGTCTTTTAACCGTCTTATTTTTAAATTTTAACGTTTCTCCGTCGCAAATATCGCCTAGTCTTTTCCTGTTCTAAGAAATTGCCGAGGTGGCAGTTGTTTACACTCCCCTATCTGAGGCGTCTAACAGATATTTCCCTGGGTAGCATGATTTAAATTTTTTATACGCGTCCTAAAACCCCTTATATACTATGGGTTTTTAATCTTCTCGGCCTTTTCTCTGGGCAGTAAGCTTTTAATGCCCGTCCCGTCAATTTGGGTCTCAAAGGACAAATTAATCAAAACACACTGGCAGCCCTATCGTAGGCTGTTTTAGGACGATACCACCTACTAGTAAACGTGATATCCTCAACAAAAATCATATTATCTTTTTGTAAAACTGAATGCAGAGACGACGCATTTTTGCATGAACCAAAGGGTTATTCCATCCTGAACTGCCCAATATCCGCGGACACTATTGCGAACGATTCGACCGTGAATTAGGAAACCCCCTCAGAACGGGTAGTATGTCCATCTGGGTCTTATAAATGGTCTGTTATATGAGCTGGATCTCAGACCGACAACAAGAATTCCGGAACTCCGCGTGCAACTGTGCATTGACGGATAAAGGTTTTTAAAGGGTCAGCTCAATGCCTGTGGCCCATACTATGTCGTCTTTTGAATTCGGTTTGAAATTTCCGACTTCCGAGTGATTTATCGTTTCTGAGTCTCCTGAGTGCTGGACACCCTGGTGGCCTGTCGGAATTAACAAGTCGATTCGGCCGAAGCTCAACAGGCAGCCACAGTGAGAAATCTCCTCTAGGTGGGTCGGGTACAACGGGATGGCGGTTTTGAGGGGAAGAACGGGCGGGGTAAACGGCAAAGGGCACTGGATTGACAGCTGGATGCCGAAAAATGTTGAAAATCGCAGAAAAATAAATATTTGTTTTAATGAAGTCAAAAATACCGCAGGATGGCGCGTAAATAGGGAAAACCGTAGGCAATGACCAATCGAAGGAGGGCTGGCCGGGGACGTGATGTGATTGGCGGCCGGGGCGAGTAAACCTGAACCGCCAAGCGGCTAACCAATGGGATCGTTGGCGCCGCACTTGAAAGTGGTGTGCATTAGATGGACGGGAAACGGACGATGCGCAAGGGGGACGTGAGGGGACAGCGGTGTACTGCGGTTGGGTAGGAGTATTTGAATAAACCGCTTATGACAATTGCGTCACTTTCCAGCCCCTTACTGACCCCCTTCTCAACCCCTCCCTATTTGTTATATTGGTGACCTCCACGGCATGCACCGTTTAATACGCATAACGCGAACAATGTTTAGGATACCTGGACGTACTCCAACACCACCGCACCAACCTACAGCAAGTCGGCAAACTCCCGACCTTGGCGGTCGCTGTTTTACGGGATTTGTAAGTATCCATGGTGAGAGCAGTTTGTAGGCCTACGTAACCCTTTTAAGTTTAAATTTATCCGCCGTAACCCAAATTGGGGGACCAGGCGTGGAAGTACAGATAGACGAGACGCTCATAAGTCGCCGCAAATATAACAGGGGACGACCGCGGCGGCAGTTGTGGGTCGTAGGTATGCACGATACACGCAGGCGGAAAGCCCTATTTGAGCAGATCAACAACCGCAGCTGGGAGGCCCTGAGGCCCGTCATAAGGAAGTGGGTGGCTGCTGGTAGTGTTATCGTAACCGATGAGTGGAAGGGTTACACCCGCCTACGGTAGGAAGGTTATACACACTACACTGTCAACCACCGTAGGGGCTTCGTGAATTCCACAACGGGACGGCATACGAACGCCATAGAGGCCTACTGGAGCAGATTAAAGGGGAACCCTAATAGCAAGCGAGCTCGCCGCGAGCCGGTGTACTCGGGGGGGGGGGGGTAGTGGGTCTTTAGCCTGCTCGCGGTTTGGATTGGTTCCCGGGTCGGCTGCGCCGGCGTCGCGAAGGGCGCAAGCGGCCGCGCATAGTTGCACTTGATTATCGATTAGCTTCGGTGCCCGATAGTCCTCTGCCTCTTGCCGCTGCCACTTTTTGCTCTCTCACGCTGCACTGCACACGCCGTGCCTCGCTCTACGCTGACATTGCCTACCCTAACTGTCTTTGTCTTTGTGTTCCCTTGTGTCTCCTTTTACTCACAGTTATGTTTACTCCTGTTAGTAGGCGTAAAATACGACGTCAAGCCTACCTACTGGGAATGCAGCCGTTACCTACTGGCGATGGGAAAGCTGGCGATTGAGGAGAGCCTACAAACGCCGATTGGATAAGCTAACCAACGAGCGCGCAGACGGAAGACTGGAAGGTATGTCTGTGTACTTCGTCCACTTACTCTCCATGCCTTCCTACAGTGCCTGTGGCCGTTACCGGCCGGTCAAAGAGGGAGCTGTCGAATGAGGAGAGCCAACCATCGACGATTGGAGAAACTAACCAACGAAGGCGCAGACGGAAGACTGGAAGGTATGACTCTGTACTTCGTCCACTTACTCTCCATGCCTACCTACAGTGCCTGTGGCCGTTACCGGCCGGTCAAAGAGGGAGCTGTCTAATGAGGAGAGCCAATCATCGACGCATACCCTTTTGTAGTAAACCTAGCTGTTGAATGTTACTGATGTGTCAAGCCGGCTGCCCAAGGCAGTCGGGGACGATTTTCCGTACTACGCAGTATGTCTATTGTATTGTTCCTTTTCCTAATTCGGAGTAAATGTTGCGTTTTGTTATGAAATTGTGCTTTCTTACAGTGCCTCTAAGCCTCCGGAATGAGAGAAGGTGTGATACGCAGTTGAGTAAAGTTCAACCAGAGGTCTGCGTTAGCTGATAGGTGCCTATGGATCACTAATGGAAGAGTTGAACGGACGTTGATAGAAGCGAACAGGCGAGTCCCAGGTAGCAGTTCAGAAGATGAAGATGCGATCACTGGGACAAGAAGTTTAGTTGCAAATAAACTTCTTGTCCCAGTGATCGCATCTTCATCTTCTGAACGGACGTTGTCTGTGGGATGGGCGGGTATCTCTAGCAGTGGTAACGGAGCCATCATCGCACGGTAAGGATTGCTGCTGATCGACCACCTTGGTGGCTGGGTACGTGAACATGTTTACCGACGTAGAATAATGCAATGACGTCCACTAAGCCTCGTCGATAAACCCTTATGGGACAGCAAGTGAGTGATTACGGAAGGCCTTTAGAGCGGGAACATGGAGGTGCGAAGAGACTGTCTTAGGCCGCAGTCGGCCATGGTAGACGGTAAGTAGGAATCGGTGTAGCTGGTAACTGGCGACGTGAACCACCCGCTGTGAAGGGCATATCAGGTCAACTAACAAAGCCGGTAGGGGGAAACAGTAGACTGTGAAACAGGCGGAAGTGGGAACAGCCGGTGAGGGAATTGTCGAATGCGGTAAACTTGCCTAAAGGGGAGAGGGACTGCCGGGATTTATGTTGGGACGGCGTAGGTGACAAGCCTTTGGGAGGGGGAAGGGAGGAAGGCGTGGGCTAAGCGGTGAGGGAGCGGTAGGCGTGTATGCAAATACCGCAGTGGTCTAAGAGCCTGAAGCCTTTGGTAGCAGCTGCCCCAAGTGGAAGTCTTACGTTTGGACGGCGTAGGTTGTAAGCCGTTG